AAGCTGACTTCTTCGATACTCTTATTATGGGGTAAGCAGAAATCACACTGACTACAGTGCTCCAGCAATTTAAGAACATTTTGACTTTTGTTAAACAATGACGAAAGGCAATTTTTTTATTTTATTTATTTATTTAACCTTATAACAATTGTTCCTCATGTCAAACCCACTAAGTGTATACAACCACACGGATCACACTGTAGTGTCGTTCTGTAAATTCTCAACTAGGCTTTTTAAATGCCATCCTCTCTAGATCACAAAGTTTGTGATCTCAAGATAACAAGATAATCAACCCCTGTGATGAGAAAACAAAAGGTTGTTTCCTCTCACTGCTTATAATGTTTGTCACAGATCAGGAGGGCCATGCCAGCCTGCATGGATGGTGTATTATAGATGTTCAACATAATGGATGATGCATGGAGGAATGAAATGCCAGATAATAATTATTTTCATACTGACCAAAATGAGCCAGCAGCCAGGAAAACGTTTATGAAAAGAAATCTCAATCTGCTCCTGATATATTTTCTCAGTATTGCCTCACACTGCCAGGAAATTATAAGCTTACATTAAATCTCAGGGGTACAGTAGTTAGGAATCCTTCCCAGCAATCATTGCAGTGATCTTAAAGGCTGAAATTAGGAGTGATCAAATGAACCAAACAAGTTTTCCATAATTACGCCTTGGTCTTAAGAAAACAAGAGTTGTTTTCTCGTCATAAATGATCTCGTCATCTCAAGAAATCTGACTTTTGTTTGCTCAAGATCACTAGTTAAATTGTGATCTTGAGAGCATTAAAAAATAATTGCACGCACGGCCATTCTGAGACACACATATGAAGTCGGGATTATCATGACATCTAATAATTCATGAAGACATTCTGGAAAACCTAGTCTAATTAATGCTAAACATTCATTTACAAAAGGGTGCTGAATGATAACAATCTGATGATCTGTAACCTTGCTGCTCTGTGTTGCAAGCTTTTTTACAGAGCTTCAGCTTAGCATCAGTTTTCTAAAGACCACACAACCCCTCTACTTTAAATACTCCAAAACAAGTACAATTTCCTTTAACCCATTTCTCTTGAGGGTCAAGGGAAGGGAAATGGGTTTTTTTTTTTTTAAATCGGTCACCATGATGTAGGACAAATACCAACAGACCAGGAATGTGGAGAATTCAAAACCTCCATTTTCAGTCACAAACTTCAACAAAAATACCATTGTAAAACAAGGACAGAGAAAGTCCTCTTTTACTCTTACAGATTGGACAACAACAAAATGATCAGTTTCTCTACATCATAGAAAAGTATAGAGGAGGAGGAGACTTATATTCATATGTGCCAAAACCACAACTAAGGGTAGAACAAACCATCAATATAGAAATATTTTGTGATCGATACACACAAGTAAGGAGTATTGTTTTTTAATACAGGCATTTAAATCAGTACCTATATCAAATCTGTATTCTATTAATCTATTTACCATTTGAATGGGAGCACATCTGTATGTTGCTGTGTGTGCATTGGGGGGGGGGGCTTTTATTGTCTTTATTATAGTGACAGCTGGAGATAGACAGGAAAGGGGGGCAGAGAGAAGGGATGACACGTAGCAAAGGGCCACAGGTTGGATTCAAACCCTGGGCCACTGCAGCAAGGACTAAGCCTCTGTACATGGGTTGCCAGCTCTACCCACTGAGCTAACCGGGCGCCCAGTCGCCACCTTTTTAACCAAAACTTGTTAAGATGTGTTGCAGCTGTCATACCACAGATATGCAAAAGTGTCAGCTCTGTAGTGTGTACATACGCTTTTAACTTTCACCATGTTAACTGCTTCGACACTGCCTACTATTACACATCCAGCAGACATGGAGCAAATTAAAATTTATTTGAAGTCATCTTTCAGGCAACCTGATGAATGTATGTGCAAAATATTCACAATGTTCACTAGTCAGATGCTAACTTTGCTGGGCAGGTAGCACTGTGAGTTATGATCTGTTGCGGCAGGATGGGCTTGATTTCATTGCATGATTCACTATTTGCTTCCCTGGGACAAGTAGTTACGTAGCCACAAAAGAAAAATTTTCCTCAGACCCTCAGATTTCTACTAAGGTGACGTCCTTGTAAGGATTACTGAAAAATACATTCATACGCATGGGACATGACTCATATACCCACCACCAGGCACACTGCTGCTTTCAGCCCACTTTCAATTACAACTGAATAGTGACTCAGTCCTGCCAGTAAAGAAATGCCTCTGAACAATGTCCTATAGTGAACAAGCCTCTTACTCTCCAGGGTGCAACATTTCACAGGAGGATGTTTCCCATGGTAACAGACCATGTTTAACCTAGGAGTCAATTAATGGGACCAAAGTCATCAGCTTGTGACAAAAAAAAAACAACAATGTTTGGTCATCATGTTTTCCTCCAACTGTGGATGTCAGCTGATATTACCACAAGCACACTGAATACCACAAACTTACAACAGCATAGGTTTGAAATATCCAGGCAATGTTTTCTCCCCTCCCCCCCTTCCCTGACCCACTGCAGCAACAAATGTAAAAGATAATAAATTATGTTTAGCATGTTTTAACCCACTGAACTACTATTCACATATTCCTATTCATGAAATCAAATCATAATTATTACTTGACCTTCAGTTTTGACTTTCTGATTTTGGAATTGACTCATACACATCATTAAGCGAGCTCTAAAAACACTTTTGCTGAAAAAAAACATTTTAGCAAAAAATCCAACAAAATACTGATGAATTACACAGAGATATACTGAAAGTTGTCTACCTTCAATGATATTATTGGTCGGATAAACTATTTGAAACACCTCTAAGTATTTCACAATACAATTCAACAGCACCACAAAGTACATCATCCAAAATTACCATAATCTTGAATCGGCACGTCTTTAAAACTGAAAGTTATACCCTCCACGAAGCCTGGATTCATTGCAGAGCTGTCGTATTAGACTGCATAAGTTTTAGCTCGGTGTACCAAAAGTGGGAACTGATGGTACATCTCACAGCATATACATGCTCTTACAACTGGGTGGAAAAGGTTTAAGAAACCAAACTCTACATTATTAATGTTCCACTTTCAACAATTATGTTCCTTGTATGAATAAAACCAAACAAGTTCCTCCAAGTCAAGCTTATCTCATTTTCACAAGATGCACAAATTCATCAGAAAATTAAATTTTCTCTTCCCTTGTGAAAATGTCATTTTAGTCACAGCCTCCAGTTATCAGTTCTTGCACAGCTGGGTTCTTCATTTAGCCCCGTGTCCTCAATGTGTCCACTGAACCAGTGATATCCTCTCACCTCATTATGGAGTGATTCAGTAGCGAGTAATCATGTGAGTGTATGAGACAGACAGGAGTAGGGAAACAAATGGAGGAGTAAAAAAAGGCCGAAACGTGGTGGACACAAGAGGGATATATAAAGACAGGGACAGGTAGACAAAGCTTTCGGCTGCAACTTGATGTCAATAACCAATAAATAATTCAGACCTCACATAAGAGGTAGAGGTAAAATCAAAGATTGTGAATTTGAATTGGCTCAAGTCAGTATAGCAAGTAGATAAAAATCCTAGGTTGAGGGGTAGAGCGATACTTTAATCTTTGGTTTGATAAGCAACATCCTGTAACACTACATGATGATGCTCTCAGTGTGCACTTAAAAGCCAAAAACTTGGCTTGTTTTGCCATAGGTGTATTCAGTAATATTCAATATGTCCGTATTTGTGGTATGTGGTTTGATAGCTATTTCTGCCAACTGGATCACATTTAGTGTTGCTCTTCGAAGTGACGCAGCTTTTTCAAAATGCACATAGGTTGTTTCATCCTTGCTTTAAACGCCTTAACATGAGGACTGCACAGGGAAAGTCCTACGTCCTGCTTAAGTTTTCCTCTTATACCGCAAAGCTTTTCAACTGTGGGACAGAAAAACATCTATTTAACCACAACAGACATAATGTTCATGGTTCAAGAGCTCTGCTTCTGTGAAAACCCTGAACTTTCCAACAAATTCATGTATTGACTAACGTTACATATAAGGGTCTACTGAGCAAGCCAGTCATGCAAAATGTCTATTTTAAGGCTTTTAGAACCACATGCAAAACAAAAAGTCTTCCTCTACGACTGTACTTGACACAGAGTGGGCTTCACAAACATCACAGTTTCCACTTAGCTTAATAAGTTATCTGATAGCATACGCTACTCAAACAGTTTCAGTATTGATCACACCTTATCACCTCTAAGCATGAAATCACACATGCAGGAGCCCTGCCTTAAAAGCAACACACAAAAAGCAGAAATAAGCGTCTAAAAAACAACCATCACAAGTACTGTAGCTGTCGGCTGTGGTGGTGTGAAAGGGTCCTACCTTCAAAAGCCCTGCACTTTGTCTGATACCGACTGGCCTGGACGACCACCTGTCACAAGTCCACCTGCTAGCACACTAAAATATATGATAGGCTCTTTTCCGACAGGCGAGCACCAATTACTCTATCTGCGAGTTTAGTTTAAAAACGCCAATTTAATAGTCAATTCATCCAGTTTAAAGCCAGATTAGGAATAACGAATTCCACTGGGGATAAACAGCCCCGTCGCACGCAGCCTATTTCCTCTGTGGCGGCTCAGAAAAACAACCGTCCAACAAGTTAACACTAACCAATTATTGGTCGATAATTATTTCCCCCTCTTCATTAATGGATAAGCTGTTAAAACCAGAGCCTGATTCACCAGATGACTGACTATGACTATAAACTGAGTGTGTTATTGTAGTTAACGTTAACTAACGGTTTTGTTTTGTTTTTTCACCGCAGGTCTAACGGTCAGCGCGTGAATGTAACCTAGACAACAGTGTTCAGTTGAAACCTCCACCCCGGCGTTTGTGTGGATTTATGTTGTTAACTTTACTCTCATCAGCTGCTCTGGTGGGGGGGGAAAGTTTCTCTCGGAAGAAAAGTTTTGAATTCTTGTCCTTCACTTACCCTTTTCAAGTCTTCCCAAGTGTTCAACTCACTGAAGTACGCTGCCGTTTGGTTTTTGAGGTAAAAATTAGTGGCCACGACTGCGACGCCGAATAGCGGATAACATTTTTCACACGGACGAAAAGCAGCAGCAGCGACAGACAGCCAGGGTTAAGTTAACGGACACGGAGCGTGACAGTTCGGACTGTACCTTTCAAAATAAATACACGCTTATATACGTTCAGTATGTAGCCTTTTATTTTGAAGGCTATTATCGCTATGCGTTTCCGGTAATTCGCTTGCTAGTTGTGGTTAACTTGATAGCGAAATTGCAAAAACTTCCGTGCGGCCGTCATGTGACCACTGAAAAACCATGGACAGCCCAGTCTGTTTTCATGCAAATGCCCTTTAACTAGATATTATCCCACTTACTAAGCACTGAGAAGAATTACAGCTCACACGAGGCTGTATTTGTAACGAATACACACATATTGCTAGTCCATCTATTACAAAATATTAAAAGTACTGTCACATAAATAATAATAATAGCCTACAGAAAATGAAAATGTCATTATTTACTCACTATTGACAATGATACACACACAACATGACAAAATACACACAGTGTATATAAGACACACTAGTTTTCCTTCCTTGATTCCTTGGAGAGGAATAGTGTTAACTATTTTAAATAACAAATAGACAAAGAAAGGAAATAAATACAAAAAGGGTTGGGGTTTTTTTTTTGGAGGGGGGGTGTGAAATTATTTACATACTTTTAATCACAAAATCAAAACAAAAAAGTGTAAAAGTATATAAGTCAAATGAGAAGAAGCTATTTAATTGCATAGCTTCCAGTCCAGTCCATGAGCCCACCTGGTGGTATAAACAGGTATAATCTTGGAAACTATCTAGTCACCAACGTGACTGTGACTAGAAAAAATTCTGAGCAGATATATATATTTTTATGGAGGTGGCAGTGATGTGGCATTCAGATCAGCAGCTATTGACTCAGACAAGCGGCTGAGTTGTTAGTTGTAAGCTCCCATAGGAACCAGAAGAGGGCAACCACTCACCATCAAGATACCGAGCCTGCAGAAGGGAGAGGACATTTTTAAAAAGAATCATGATTAAAAAAAAGAAGCACCAAGTAATAAATGGAAACCAGCATTTACAGCAGAAAGAGAATGTTGCATCTAAATAGACCCTAAATTATTAAAGATGGTTCCTTTGATTGCAGTTTCACAGTGAAGAGAGTCAGCGAGATGAAAGCGACTGAGAGAGAGGGAGGCTGGCATGCAATAAAAGTAATACGCTGCCCCAAATTGGAATCCATCACAGCCACACCATGTATCATGATGTACCAGGAGACTCCAAACATAAAACATTTATGAACTAAATATATCCCACTTGCGAGTCTACATGAATATAAAAGGTCACATTTGTCACTATGCTTTGTAAAACCTTCACTGATCATCGTGTTGTTTAGAAAGCTGAAGGGGAAATATGCCTATTATTTCGCCCCCTGTGTGTTTAACATAGAGAATGTGATTCAGTCCTGTTCCCTCATGTCACAGTCAGAGGCCCTGTTGCCCCAAAGAGTCAGTGAGTAAAAGGGTAATATTTTAGCGTTCAGGAGCCTGGATGAACAATACACTGACTCTGTGACAAGTCAGTGACTTGGCAGTGTGTTACTCATTTCACTTCCGACCTGGGATAAAGATCAGGGGGCTGTGTCAGAAAGATTAACTTGGGGAAAGGAGATGGAAGGAGGAGAGGAGATGAAAGGTGACAGATGGAGGAAACAGGTGGTAAAAGGTGAGAAGTGGCAGAGAAAGAACGAGGAGTAAAAGTTGAGGGCGAATGAGAGGGAGGTGAAAAGAGCAGAAACAGGAAAGCAAATAAAGCTGAAGGCTGTAGAGGAGGCGAAATGGGAATACATGAAGGAGAACAAATGGTTTAGAGGGAGACGAGGAGAATAGGAGGGGAGGAAAAGTACTGAAGAAAAGAGGAGGATCAATGGAGAAGAGAGGCCTGGATGAGAAGTGGATGAAAGGATGGATGAGAGAAGGGAAGAGAAAACGGAGAAGAGGAGAAATCGAGGAAAGGACGAGGAGCAGATGATAAAGGGACAGAAACAGAGTAGGGGAGAGAACACAAGAGATGCAGGGAAGAGGGAGTAGGAGAGGAGAAGGAGGAGGAGGTGGGGCGGTGATGAGTCATCCCCAGGATCTCAGCCCTGGTGGGCCGGGTTGCTGTGGGGGTGGCAGTGTGACACATATGCAGAAACACACACACAGGGAAGCCGGCCGTCATGCTGCTTATATGTCTCCTCCTGCTGTGGAGGCGGGTGGAAGACAATATAGGGATGCCACTGGGACACACAGTTCACACACACACTTGTGCACAAGCAGCCCTTTTCCTCCTCCGACACACACACACACACACACACACACACACACACACACACACACACACACATAATGATGATGATGGCTGAACGAGAGGCCTCATTAAGACTCTGAGAATGGATGGATCGTTTTATACGAGGACAGCTGTAGGAAAGAAAAAAAAAAGGGCTGGAGCCGCAATACACCTCATGCCTTTTTTGCATCTCTCGCATACTCTTTGCTTCATCATTAATATTTCATTAGGTGGTTCCTATGCAGAGGCGGATGTCGTAAAAAGGGAACCGTCAGAGAGGATGACATGCAAAAAACCAAACATTTGAAGGCATTACGTTACATATAGAGTACAATGCTATGTTCCTCTTACAGAAATGCATAAAAAAATGTTCAATGCCGCCTCTAGAAATACTTAAAGCCATGTTAGTGTGAGTTTATGTTATGCAATTAACCCACCACAGGGAGACAGAAATTGTACATGTGGTGCATTTCCAGTATACATGCTCTTTAGTCTAATTCTACATAGGGAGGAAGGGGTGGACACCTTGCAATAAGTCCCTTGCTCTGTGACAAGCAAGCTCTCATCTCTCAATGTCTCTCATTGGTGCTGAGTCGATCTCAGAGTTGCCATGCCAACAGATTGGGGGATTCCTAATTCTGATCTAGGCCACTGCGCACACTTTCCAACCAGTGAAAAACTGTTTACCAATAGGTTGAATATCATGGTGTTTCCCTCTTCTAATCATGGCAGCACCATTTTATAACAAATGGTTTTGTGTATCTGTGTGCCACTAAAAGAATGTGTGAATGACAGCAGATCAACCAGTTAATCAGGTCAGCGACTCTTTATACCTCATTTAGTGTCAGCACAACCATGCAAACCTGCAGGCAGCATCAGCCATCAACCCGAGCAAAGGCGTTGACACATGTAAAAATACACACACACACACAGATAAAAAAAGACTCAGATCGCCAGTGGAATTTGAAAACCTTAGTAGGAATCTGTATTTAATTTTTTAAACTCTACATACATTCATACATCTCTCAAATAGAGGAGCAAGACAGTACGTGTGAGTGTGAAATATGTGGGTATGTATGTAAGTAAGTAAGTGTGTGTGTGTCTGTGTGTGTGTGTGTGTGTGTGTGTGTGTGTGTGTGTGTGTGTGTGTGTGTGAGAGGGTTGCAGGTTGGGATGGGGGTTCCAGCTGCCTTCTGCACACCTGCGCATTTATCATGTGCTTACAAAATGCGATGGAGTCATAATGATTGACAGGGAGACAACAATGGGAAGAAAAACACAAACTGAGTTTGTGAGTGCTTACATGTAGTTTAAATGAAGGTGTGTATGTACTCACTGTATACACAATCATTGGGGGTTGCACAGAGTGGTCCTCCCATTAGATTAGATAGAAATAACTTGCAGGTAAAAGAGGATAGTGTAGTTCTGAAATCTGTTGTTCATATTTTGATATGTCAGATTATTTGGTAAGACTGTACCAGTAAATCTTACTGAAAATATATTTTGCTATGACAATCTGCATAGGATGAATATCAGTTTACTGACTTGTAAAAATACGTATTTTCGCTTCCCCTTATAAGTGGGTGGGTGTGTATCTGTGAGTGCATCTATGTTTCATGTCCGTGTATGTATGTGTTCATACATTATGTATGCAAGTAGATGGAGTTGACCAAGTATGAGTCTGTGTGCATGAATGCTTACATACATGGGCCTGTTGGTATGCCTGCACATGCAATTGCATGTACAGTATGTATGCAAGTATGTGCGTGCATGTATATACACACACATATTTACATGCAGAATCACATATACATACCGGCACGTGTAATTGTGGATGTGGATCAGGCATGCATGTAAGACTGCATTACTGTTTGTGTGTGTATGAATACATGATTGTGTCTGTGTATGTTTTTGTGTCAGTCGCTGTCTTCTCTCTCCTGGGTCTCAGCCAGGGAGCTCTCATCAATATTCTCCAGGCTCTCAGCATGCTGGATGCTGAGCTCAGAGAGAGGGATGCTGGGTAATGTAGTCTGTTCGGGGTAGAGCCAGGGCTTGAAGCCAGGGTTGTGTCTCTTCTTCCAGTCTGAATACTTCAAACAGGCTTTTATGATCTTCTTCATTGCCTAAAAAGAACAAAATAGATAACACATAATAATGACGCAAAGTAAGAAACGAGAACTGTATCTTTATTCATCATCAAAAAAACTTCCGTTATATACTCAGGGATCCTGTGCAGAACTACAAAAGTCAGATCATCAAGTACCTTCATACAGTTTTCATAGTACCAGAACATCCAAGTGTGTTTAATTCAAATAGAACTTAGGTTTAATTTAGGAATATTGATTTAAAATGTTAAATCAAATGGTAATATTTCTATGTATATGTGAACTGTATTTTAAGTTTTAAATGAATCCTGATTTATTTATTTATTTAATCTGCAAAACCCAGACAGGAATTCTTGTGTTTACTGTGTTGAAATCATCAGTGTGGTTATTGTCAGGAGGATTTGTGCATCTCACTGAGCTGCTATTTTCTGACTATCATCAAGGGATTCTTCCATCCCAGGGTGCTCTCTTTGCCCTATTTCAACAATTACACACTCTCTCACACACACACACACACACACACACACACACACACACACACACACACACACACACACACACACACACACACACACACACACACACACACACACACACACACACACACACACACACACACACACAC